AAAACAAGCAAATCAGAATAAGACAAAACAGAAAAGCAGAAGGAAAATAGCCAAAAAGGAGGCACAATAATCTAAGGACCACTCATTCACACACTCAGGAATCCCATAAAAACACAAAATTGGAAGCCGTAATATATATATATATCTCCTGTATGCTAATAAATACAGTAAATGTAAAACCCAAAATTAAAAGAAAAAAATCCTGATATGATATTATGAGACAAGAAACCTTCAAAGATTCCATTGAGTTTATTTTCTGTCTATTGCTGGGCATAAGGACCTCTAGGCTTACCTTCTTGTAGGAGGGAATTGGGGTATGTTGCGGGAGGAAATGCTGGAGGGTCAGGAGGAGGGAGGAGAGGGATCTGTGATTAGTATGTAAAATGAATAAAAAATTTATAAATAAATAGAGAGTAGTTTGTTTCCCCATTGAGACTACCTTGGAGAACATTTATGTCTCTTTTTGCCATTGGTTATCAATTGGAGATTGCTTCTGTGTTAGGGATGGGAGCATGTGTCTCCTTCACCTTTCACCCTGGACACTATCTGGTGCAGACCTATGCACGTCATGTACACGCTCATTGCCTGTGAGTTCATATGTGCATTAGTCCAGCTGTGTTCAGAAGGCCTTGCTTCCTTGGTGTTCTCTATGCCCTCTTAGTTCTTAAACTCTTTCTGCTACCTCTTCCACAGTGTTCCCTGAGCCTTGTTGAGAAGGTACTATTTGATGGAGACACCCCATCTAGAGCTGAGTGCTCCAAGGTTTCTCAATCTCCACACATTTTCTGGCTGCAGATTTCCATATTTGTTACCATCTGGGTAGAAGGAAACTTCTCTGATGACAGCTGACCAAGGCACTGACCTACAAGTATAGTGCAGAATGTCATTAGAAGTCATTTTATGGCTATGTTATTTTAGTAGAACAGTAGTATCTGGTTTTATACAAATTCCCTGGGCTATACAGTCTCAGTGTTCTTAGTCACACAAACCGCATCGAGTATGGGTTCCATCATATGGAGTGGGCTTTAAATCAAATCAGATATTGGTTGTTACTCTCACAGATTTGTGCCATCATTGAACTAGCATATCATGCACACAGGACACCATTGTAGATTGGAGGGCTTATGGCTATGCTGGAGAAGACATTCTCATTTTGTGTGTAAGCAATTTTTAAAAGAATTATATCTTTGTCAGAGACCACTATAAAAACCACAACCAATCAGAATGCAGAGATGTGGAACCATGTCCCAGTAGATGAATCTACAAAAACACCTCTACATTGAAAGCTCATGGTACACTGCAGAAGATGGAATAGAGAGACTCTGAGAGTCAGAGGACTGTGCTGTGAAGTGTCTCTCCTATTAATGCTAGAAGCTACACATAGTCTCACCAACATGACTGACCAAATGGGAGCTGAACAAGGACAACATCAATGCATATGCCAAAGTTGACGAGGAAAAATCTATGAGGCCTCACCCCTACACAAAGAACTATAAGCAACAGATGAAAGCTGGTAACTGAAGAGGTTGTCTTCTACAGGGAAGACCACACCAATTGGTTGTCTAGTGCCACATGATCAGTCCTAAAAACATATAAATACAAGTCACATTATACAGACTGAACAGGTTATATTTACGAATATACATGTATATGCATATAAATACATGAATTAAGTAACATTTATGAATTAAGAGGCCATGAATTTGAAGTAGAATTGAGGGGGTATATTGAAGGATTTGGAGGAAGGAAGAGGAATGAAGAGATATGATTATAATCTCAGAAATGAAATAAAAAAACACACAAATAGGTACACACAAAGAATCATATCTTTGAATGATAAGCTTAATATATCTTTCCTTCAGTTTAAACTTTGTTAATTTCTGAACAGATATTCATTATATATTGCCATATGCTGATTTTAGTTCTGTAGAGGACTTATTTTACTAAGAGGTTAAAATATTTTATTAGAAGAATTCTTAAGGGAGGTGGTAAACAGAGATTACAATGGACTTTGTGTAATAAAAGCAAAGAGATGAATAATGGGAGAAAAGAAGGGAACCATTTGGAGAAGAATGGCACACAGGAAAAGTCAGCGTGAAGAAGGAACAATAAAACAAAATATAAAGGCACATGTATATAAGGATGCACGATCAAAGCCTTTACTCTGATGGTGCCCTAAAGCTTAATTATAAATAACTTTAAAGCAAAATCTCAATGTATCACAGTCACTAATACACTCAAACTTATTTAAAATGTGTTACACTTTAGTACAGTTGTTAAGAATGAAATTCAGTGAAGGGTCCTCTTTTCCAGAAATCTATTCTCTGGAAAGTCAATCAAGCCTCCACATGTCAGTTAACAGAACATCATTCTTGTATTTAAAGTGCTTGTACTTAAAAGGCTTACATTTGAAATATAACCTTAACCTTTAGGAGCATCCACCCCATTGTTCTAATATGTACTATTTGATGTGAAATTGCATGTTTCATATGACTTCAGTGGTCATAAGAGTCTCTCAATGACTCTTAAAACTACTGACTTTAGACTGCATTGAGTTACTATAAAGTAGCTAACATGTTTAAATCTATAGCAGTTATTTCATCTGACCCTCACTTTGAGGCTTTTCAACAGATGCAAATCTGTTCATTACTAGATTCATTATAAATTGGCATTGTGTCTTGATTTTCTAAGGCTTCTGAATTTATGTGTACATATGTGAGCCTGCTTAAATATATGTGTGCCATGTGCGTTCAAGTGCCCAGAGAAGTCAGAGGCATCAGATTCCATGGTACTACATTTAGACAGTTGTAAACCACGTGATGTAGGTGCTAGGAACAAAAACTTGGGTCTTCTGAAAAAGCAATTAGCATACTCTTAACTGATGAGCCCTTTTTCAAAGTCCTATAGTTAGCAAATATTAAGCTTAGCAGTCCTAGCATGCTCATTCAAACAAGTAATTTATCAGAATATATGATATCATTATCTGTTACAAAGAGGGAGGTTGTGAAGTATGAGAAAATTGGTACAAAAAATGGCAGTAGAGAACCACTGATCGTGTTGGTAAATATAGTTCTTCCTGGGAAGGAAGGCTACAATACAAATTCTGTGCCCTTGTCATCAAGATCAGGATACTAAAGGGAACAGTCCATATTCAGAATAAAAATGCATGGATCTGGATCACTTTCTAAATAAAATTACAAATATGCTTCACAGTGTACATCAAAAATGTCTGAGTTAAAACCATGTGCTTCCAGAATGTAGCGTAGGGAAACTATAGACACAACCTTCTTGACAACCCTACTTCTTTCTGTTTTACTAAAAATCTCTTTTCCCTTTTCTTATTTCTTGATCATACAAACATTTTCAGCCTGTTACAGTCTCACATAAGCATTAACTAGCATAAAAAATTTAATGACTACTGTAACCAAATAGTGACTCCAATTTTCTTATTAAATAATAAATACCTAGAGAGGGTCCAGAACATACTTGAAGAAAGGCTAAGGAACAGTAAATATATGGACTCTGGAGTCATATTGTTTGTTACAAAATGATTTGTGTGTCATGAATGCATTTTTTTAATTAAAAAAATTAATAAAAATATCAAAATATACTTAAGGATACACAAATATGTTAAACTGATTAAATTTGTTCGGGAAGACAAGAAATGGTATCAGGAAGGTACAATTAACCACTTTCAGTAATTTTCACAATTGATAAGATCCTACAAAATTTAAAAATAAGGTACACATAAGTCAAGACATAGTAATTAATACAAGTATGAAAGTTGTAGGCACACTTTAATTTGTAGGTCCAGACTTGTTCTTCTTACATATATGAATGTATAATTTGTATGCTCTATTGAATGCATATGAAACTGAGCGCTACTGGAAGTCATGTGAAGTTAGTGGATTTTGTCTAGGCTTGCAACGAAGCAAACACTCTGAAAAGCTATTTGTGATATGCTGAAAAAGGTACTATCTTCACTGGAACAATCTCTTTACTATAGATACATTTGTCATAGCATCACATTGTAGACTTTGAATATAACAATAATATGTATTTACAAACAAAGATACAAAGCAAAACAACATCAAAGCATAGATGCAACTGTATACAACGTTTCATATTGCAATAAAATAATATTATCTTTTTTTTTTTGGTTTGTTATGTCCCAAACGGGGTGAAAACTGAGAACAAACTTAGTAGTGTTTTTTTTAACAGAAATTACAAAAGAAAATTTTGATTGTACCAAAATAAATTGCTTTTAAGTCTAAGTGAAATGTTGAAGTTGAATGCAATTTTTTGTAAATATAGTATTTATACATAAGTTCTGTGATAAATTCTTCACTAACATGAAGACAACATGAGAAATAACTATTGTTTGAAATATAAATAGTAATTGTGTTCCTTGGTAATGGATATTTTAGAAATATTTCAACACTAGGGCTTAGGATCGTATGCAAGAATTAGAATCCTGCTGCAGCTGCAGCGTCATCAGCAGCAGAAGATCTGTTGAAATTGTTGTCTGCTAGTGTCATCAGCTAAGTACAGCTTCAGCCTGCTATCTAAGCACTCAGAAATAAAACAGCAGAGGCCCTGACATAAGGAAGGGGAACACTCTTGAGGCAATGCATATGACACAGCCACCATCTCCACCATGCTGATGGGTTAGTGAACAATTGCCATCTCAAAAACTTCCCTTTAGTCCCTGAAATTTGGTTATCACTCTTGTTCTTTTTTCATGAATGTGGATGATTTGAAATTCCCCATGTTGACATTTTTCTATTCTTACTTCAGTACTACCGGAGAAAAAAAGTTCTAGGTGTCTTTGTTCTATTGTTACTTGTAATATTAAAGAGTACCATAACCATTTTCACCTTCTAAACATTCTCTTGACTTCATCATTAAGGGCTAAGGCTCACACCTACCTTTGTCACAATCTCAGCTGAAAATTTTTTCTTCATTCTTCATTTCAATGGTTTTTGTATAAATTAAAACATGCCTACATGAGCAGAAGGCAGCATCCCTTGTTAGAATTCATCTCTGGTTTTCAATTTAGTTATAACAAATTAATGAGGAAACAGCCTTATTTTATGTTGGTAGTGTTTTACACCAGACCTTTTTTATAGAATTTTTCATCTCTGAATTTCTCAAGGTATATATCAATGGATTCAGCATGGGACTCACAACTGTATAAAACACGGCAATATATTTATCAATAGGGAAATTGGAAACAGGCCTGGCATATATGAAAATACAGGGAGCAAAAAAGCAGACAACTACCATGATGTGTGAGCTGCAAGTGGACAGGGCTTTGCGTCTCCCTTCCTGACTATGAGTCTGAAGAGAGTTTAGGATGATCCCATAGGAGACTAAGAGAAAGGTAAAAATTCCCACACAGATTACTCCACCATTGGCAATGACAGTAATGCCCAGGAAGTAGGTGTCAGTGCATGCAAGTCCCAGCAACGGATTCATGTCACACATGAAGTGATCAATGACATTGGGACCACAAAAAGGAAGTCTATACACAGACAGAACTTGAATCAGAGAGTGTGTTATGCCTCCAACCCCAGCTACCAGCAACAGGAGGATGCAAACCTGTCGGTTCATAATTGTCAAATAGTGCAGTGGCTTACAGATGGCCACATAGCGATCATAGGCCATGAATACCAGAAGGAAGACCTCAACACCACCAAATAAATGCTCTACGAAGAGCTGGACCATGCAAGCTTTGAAGGAAATAGTCTTCTTATTATATAATAAATCTATAATCAAATTTGGTGAGATGGTATTGCAATAAAAAGCATCCAGGAGTGACAGACAGGCAAGAAAGAAGTACATTGGGGAGTCTAAAGAAGGGCTGGCAATCACTGTCACTGCAATGAGCAGGTTTCCCAGCATTGTCACAATGTAGATGAGTGAAAACAAGACAAATAAGGCTTTTTGTCCAGCAGGATCTTGAGTAAGGCCCACAAAAATAAATTCTGTGACATTGTTACTCTGTCCCATTGACCTCTTTATGAGGAGGTTTATTTCAGAGATGAGAAGTCAAAACAAGACCTGTCCTGAAGTATGTATATGGCCATGAATCTTTTTCAACATGAAAACTCTGTCTCCTTATTTTTTACAATGGTGAACTTGATAGAAATTTGTGAATAAGCAGTCCTGAATTCCTCTTCCAATAATCACAGCGGCCCTCCTGTTGATGATTCTTTTCCTCCTCGGGTATCTTAGTTATTTCTGCAAGTACAAGGGTCTATTTTAAGTCTCAGTGTATCTCTATACTACATTCAATGTACACACACTTCACACACTTATTTAAAACAAGGTTAATTTTGGCAAATATGTTATAAATGTTAGAAAAGGGCACCGGCTTTTCAGAAATCTACATGATGTGAATACCCTTCAATATGGGACTGGAAAGATGGCTCAGTGATTAAGAGTGCAATATTCCCTTACAGAGGACACTAGATCAATTCACAGCAAACACACAGTAGTTCACAATTATCTGGAACTTGTTCTGATTTACATAGGCACCAGGCATGTATATGGTGCACATACATCATGTAGGCAGACATATGAAATATATTTGTTCTCTTATACTCTAATATACTTGGTATATGTGACTTTAAATTTTCTTGTATAAATATTCCTTAAAAACTACATTTCTTTGTTAACATGTCATACAAAATGTAACACACATGATTCAATGTAATAAATAAATAAATTGAATTTGTATGGCTACCCATGTAACAGATATGTGCTCCCTTCCCGTGTGGAAAACAGTCAGGCTATAAAACTAAAGCAGACACACTCTTTGTTCTTATTTATTTCTCTGTTCTAACCTTTTTTTCCAGTTCAGATAGCTCTGTGAGGACAACCTAATATTCAATATACTAGCTGTACATCAGGTATTACAAAAATACTTGCCTTGTGTGTCTACTCTGTTAGCTCAAGAATTCCCATATTGGAGTTCCTTGATGGAGAAAGTAATGGTCGCTTTTACTGAGGATGAATGTAGTAGACAGAGTAGTTAGTATACTTATAAAAACATATATAAGGACATTTAAATATAGTATCAATACTTACTGGACAAAGCTAATTGAATATTCTTACCTGCTCTGAAATAATTTTGTAGAAATATAAAGACCCTATTATTTGTACAACTATGCATGAAACTGACCTAATTTGTGCAAATAAAAGTTTCCAAACCAATTTTTATGACACTAGTAAGTAAAGGACAAAACAAAAATGCTACCAACACTTCCATGAACTTTTCTCCTTGTATTAAATTAGGGGGAAGCAAAAAAGAAATGTGAAGGATTTACAGTAACCTCTACCTAACTGTCTGTGTAATGAAGGACTGTCTCAGATTCATTCCATAGATACAACAGTGATGTGCTTTTCTCCTAAGCAGGTGAAGATGTCTTCAGTCCCTCACTCAGTAAAAATGAATCTTTACAATACCTTTCTCACCTTTCTTAAATCACACTCCCATATATATCCATAGCTTCATATTGAAGAAACTGAGATTATCCATGAATGTAGAAGAATATATAAGAGACTCTAAGGTCATTATAAATTATTTTTTAAAATTTTGGATCAAATTCAAATCAAGAAATCTCTCCTGGAAAGATTTCTTCCCTTGAAGACTCTCTAGGGAGAAAAGACTTCGCTGGTACAACAACAAATGTAGTCAATTGCCAAATGTCATGGACTTTACTATGAAAAAACAATTCCAAAGTAAGACAATTACTATTAACAGTTTTGTTTAAAAATACTTAGATAAAGCAAGTCATGTGAACCAGTGTAAAGATGGCAGCATCCCTATTACCTAACCACAGCCCAGCAGAGAACTGCTTTACTCTAACAGTGAAAGAGACACTATCCAAACATTTCTGAGGCTCTAAAGAAATTTTAAGCTACAGAATCTGTTGACATCAAAATACTTTTTTTTTATTTTAAAAAGGAAATATTTATTGTTGTGTTACAAGTTGATTATAAACTCCTTTAAAAAAAGCAAAGATGGATTTAAAATATCAATATACATATTCATCTAAAAAGCAAAAGATGAAAAAAAAACGAAATCCTGCAAAATGCAGGGTCGTCGTCAATAAACATCAATACACAGAGCTTGTATACTGCAAGACAGGTCACACACCAAGGAACCTTCAAACATGAACGCTCCTCCCCTTGTTGGTTGGTTTTAGGTTTTTTTTTTTTGTGTGTGTGTGTGTGTGTGTGTGTGTGTGTGTGTGTGTGCATTTGTTTTTTTTTTGTTTTTTATTTTTTACAAAAGCTTAAAATATCTTAAAAATAGTTTGAAGTTTTTAAAAAATGTCTTGATGAGCCAGGCAAAACTCACGTTCTCAGCTTTCTCTTGTGCTAAATACAGAGTCACAATTGTTAGGGATTGGAAAGATTAATTGGGTTTAAAAAAAATGGAGCTACCATCTCATTTTGAAGCCAAATATATAACAAGATGCTCTATCCTTCAGAGAACATGCCAGAACATGCCTGTAATGACACCACCACCACCCCTCTACCCTCCCAAAGAACATGGAAAACCAGCTTCCTGTGAAGACCCAACTACTGGGAGGTCAGGGTGTCACTACCATGGCTGACAGCATTCCAGCCCTGCTCCTCTGGATGAGGCAATGCTCTAGACAGTCTAAAGAGGCACTGATCCTGGTTCCTCTCTCCAAGTTGCAGACACAAGCCAGGAAGGCACCTTAGAGAAGGCCCTTCACAGCCCACTCAATCCCGAGACCCCTGTCCCCACGGACACTGTAAATACCTCTGTGTGCACATCCCTCCTTCATCAAGCCCAAAACCACACACAAAACAAAACCTAGGTACCCCAAGATGGAGAGGGGTGCCCCGGAAGCCAGCCATCAAAATTCTTAAAAAAAAAAAAAAAAAAAAAAAAAAAAGCTAAGTATAGTTCTGCACATTTGAATGGAGTTGAGACATTTGAATAATGACAAAATCTCTGTGGAGCTATAGTGAATGAAATTCACTAATTTGATCCCTTATTCTAATTTATTGTTAGTGAAATAATTGTTTCTGTCTACAAGAAATCAATCATGTTTGTCCTTCTGAGTCCATCCTACTTCAATCAGGATCATATTTTCTAGTTCCATCCATTTGCCTGCAAACCTCATGATGTCATTGTTTTTCTCTGCTGAGGAGTACTCCATTCTGTATATGTACCACATTTTCTTTACCCATTCTTCAATTGAGGGGCATATAGGTTGTTTCCAGGTTCTGGCTATTACAAATAATGTTGTTATGAACATAGTTTAGCAAGTTCCCTTGTGGTATTATTGAGTATTCCTTGGGTATATGCCCAAGAGTTATATAGCTGGGTCTTGAGGAAGATTGATTCCCCATTTTCTGAGAAACTGTAACAAGGATGACTCAACCATAGACTACTGGCAATAGTCGAGAGGGTGTCTGAGCTGGCCTACTCGAGTGATAGGATGGCTAAATACCCTAACTTTCATCATAGAACCCTCATCCAGTGACTGATGGAAGCAGATACAAAGATCCATGGCCAGGTCCTAGGCCAAGCTCCAGGAGTCCAATCAATGAGAGAGAGAGAGGAGGTATTCTATGAGCAAGGGATATCAAGACCATGATTGGAAAAAGAACAGAGACAACTAGCCAAACTATTGGAAATGCATGAACTGTGGACCAATAGCTGAGGAGCCCCCATGGAACTGGACCAGGCCCTCTGGATAAGTGAGACAGTTGTTTAGTCTGACCTGTTTAGGTGGCCCCAAGGCAGTGGGATCAGGACCTGTTCCTAGTGCATGGGCTAACTTTTTGGAGCCTAGTGCCTATGCTGAGCCACTTTGAGCAACCTTGGTGCAGGGAGGAGGGTCTTGGACCCGCCTCAACTGAATGTACCAGGCTCTGTTGACTCCCAATGGAAGACTTTGCCTTGGAGAAGGTGGGAATGGGGGGTGGGCTGGGGGAGAACGCTGGGGGGCAGGAAGAGGGAGGACAGGGAATCCGTAGTTGGTGTGTAAAATAAATAGAAAATCTCTTAAGATGAAAAAGAAATCAATCACTACAGTGTCTAGAGCTCTAGCATTGCCCCTGTTAAAATATTCTTGTCATGCACTGCACTGGGCATATTAGTTGCAAATGGATCTTCCATGTCACACAAGTCTCATAGGCTCCACTAAAAATTAACTATTTCAGCTTAACTAACGTACAAATAAATTTAACAACCTCCAAGATGTATAACTGTGCTTATTACTGTGCCTCTCTCACTGGTAAGTTTAAAAAGATACAGACGTGTATATTTAAATTAGGTTAATAATCTAACATGATCAAACTTCTGAGAGCTCAATTATTACTCAAAGATAACAAAATACACATTTCCATGTTATTCTCTTTCTTCTATCTGAGATCAATGAATTACTTACCAAAGGAAAAATCCACCAAGATGAAGTCTGAACTCTGAACAACCATTGCCCCAAATTCAAAGGTACCCCATTTGTAAAAGAAATATTACTAAAGCTTAAATCACACCATGAACCTCTCACATTAATAGTGAGAGATTTCAATACCCCATTTTCACAAATGCAAAAGTCATACAGACAAAAACTAAACACAGAAATAAAATAATGGAGCTAACAGATATTATGAATCAAATTAAACTAACAGGTATCTACAGAACATTTCATCCAAACACAAAAGAATACACCTTCTTCTCAGCAGTGCATGGAACTTTCTCTAAAATTGACCACATACTTGGTCACAAAACAAGTCTCAACAGATACAATAAAAATTTAAATAATCCCCTGTATCTTATCAGACCACCACAGATTAAAGCTGGATTTCAATAGCAGAAACTACAGAAAGCCTACAAACTCATGGAAAGTGAACAACTCTCTATTGAATTACCACTGGGTCAAGGAAGAAATAAAGACAGAGATTAATGCACAACATATGGGACACAATGAAAGCAGTGCTAAATGAGAAGTTCAAGGCACTCAGTGCCTGCATAAAAAATCTGGAGAAATCTCATATTAT